CAGTTTCTAAAGAGAAATGACTAAAATAATTAAATTATACTACAATCTGTATCACTTGGAAGATGGTTTTAAGATACTCTGTATAATTTAGAAAATATATTTTTCAAGTTTCACTTCATATATTAATTTGGATCACTGGACCAGTTAAAATATTTGGTTTTTTTTTTTTTTGGTGGTGGTACTGGGGGTTATAATTAGGGCCTTGGGCTTGCTAGGTAGTGCTGTTTGAGCCATACCCCCAGCCTAAATCCTTTTTTTTTTTTTAAGACATTGAACATCATCCCTAAGTGAAAGATCTCTTAGGAAGATGTACTTAGACTCCAGGGCACAGGATGTTCAGAGGAGAAAACCCTTGCTGATCGTTTTTCTCCAAATGAACTTATGGTTTCCCTGGCTCTGTTGGCTACATCAAGGTGATTGATGTTCTCTGCAGGGGCATTTAGTTCTATGTTCCCATCGTTTTGGAGCCCATTACCCCTGCAAAGTCCTGTTTCTACCTCTCAAAGATATGACAACCCCAGTGGAAAGGGCTACATGGCATAGGGACAAAGCAGCACAGCCGGGCTTCAATAGGGACGGCCAGGAGCTCAGGCTCTGTGAACCTGGCCTTGACATCTTTACTCTGTCCTGTGACCTGGCTTTGTGACAGTCCCATTAGCTCCTGAGCTCCCATTTCTCCTTTGTATGGTGGTGACATGAAGGTCTATCTCAGAGATGTGATGAGACTAAAATGAGAAAATACACCATGTGGTCCCAGTGATTTTGTGAATTGTTTGGTAAGAGGCTTAGTGCCATCTTTGAACTTTTCTATATTACTTAATTATGCACCATGAGCATATATGTTATAAATAAAACCAGTAAAGCTGACTTAAGGAAAGGGCAATTTAGGATGCAAACCTAGCTCATTACCACATAGGGATGAAGCTAGGACCAACTTAGGAAATGGCTGTGAGCCACTAACCCTTTCCTAGTAACAACAGCTACTGTCCTTAAGCCCAGCACTTCACAGACAAGGGCCCATCTCACTGTTACAATAACGCCATAAGGCAGGTTACTGACATTCTCCTTATATAGGCGAGTAAATGAAGGTACCAGGAGGTGAGGGGGATTGGTCCAAGACCACATATCCAGCCTGGGGATTCCCAAGCCTGCTGCCTGAGCCCTTCACTTTCCCTGTGTGACAATCCATGCTTTGCACTGAGTCCACGGCTTCACTGCCACCTTCAGAAAGGATGCAGGGACCCCAACCAAGGCCCATTTCCTCTGGTAGGAATTTGCTGCTTATATAAACCAACTGGGGACCAACTGGCTGGGCAGAACCTTCAGCTGAGGAAGGTTCGTCTCCACTGATAAAGAAAGAACGGGAGCTTTTATCTCATTCGTCCAAAGCTGCAATGGCTCCTCCACGTGCTGCTAAGTGGTGACAGCCCAGAAGAGCAGGATGAGGCCTGCACTCAGGGGTCAGAGACCCTGTAACCAGCTCTGCCATTAATACGCTGTGTGGCCCCAGGAATGCTGTATCTTGTCTTGGTTCTGTGAAACAAGAGGGTGGCTAGGTCCCACATTCTCTGTGCATCTTAATAAAAGGCTCATGACTAAAAAGTTACCCAGGAGCATTAAAAATAGATGTGTACTTTCAGTAGAAAAAGAATCGAGTTCCCACTTGCCCTTCCACAGGCCTTTGAACTCTGGTATTTTTATTCCCCTCAAAATAATCTTTCAAAAGGCACCTGCAAACTCCCATATTGGCCTTTCAGTGGAGAAAAGCTTTCATGCCCTGCAGGGTGCCACCATCAGCCTTTGCGAGGTGGCATGCTGCAGGCACTACTGCAGATTTAAGACAGGGAAGACTGAATGCTACTGAGCACCTGTCAGATCAAGAACACTAGGTACCCCAAGACTCCATGACTCCTAGGGACCTTTGGCCGAGCAATGTCATGACTCACCAAGCAGCTCTTCCTCATATTCTGATCATGTCTGACATGACTCACTGGGAGACCTTTGTGGGTTCACTTGGACACTTTGGCCACAAACCAAGAAGAAGGAAGATGACTTTTTAAAGATGTATTTTTAATTGACACACAGTGTCACATAGTGATTATACACACTTATGAGTACACTGTGACATTGCAGTACCTGTACACAATGTGTGATGAAAAGATCGGGGTGACTGGCAAATCCATTACCTCAGACATATATCATTTCTTTGTGTTGGGACATTCAAAACCCTCTCTACTAGCTACTTTGAACTAATGAACTGTCATCAACCACAGTGTCCTCCTGTGTTACAAAACATTAGATTGAACACTATTCAACCTGGCACAAGTGCTCTGATTGAGAAAGCCTGACAAGGGCTCAGGACTGGACGGGGTTAGTACTCACATCTTTTTGCCAAATCTTCCAATATGGCCCATAGCTTTACAGTTAATAAAACGGATTCAAACAGCTAAAGGGGGTTGACCAGGGCCATGAACTAGGCAATGCCACAGGAGACCAGAAAAAGAAAGAATGACTGAACTGATGTAGGGTAGGAGATGGGGATGGAGGATGGGGTGGGAGAGAATGAATTACTGCTAGTTATGGAGTACCCGAGAAGGGCATTGTCCAAAGAGAGGCTCTAAATGGGGCAAAAAGTGATCGCTAGCCAACTAGAGGGAAAAAGTAGGATCATTGGGAGAATCAGTACCATCCTGGAATCAGTCTGCAGGAGGATTGATTGCCCTGTTTTGGCCAAAGGAATGAGAGCTCGTCTCCCTAGGCAAAAGCCTTTCTAGACTGGTCCCTGAAAGCATCATGCGTAGATGCCTGCTGGTTGCCATGGTGAATGATGCTGATCTGAAGAAATGAATAATGTGAGCGTTGGGGGCGACAGTGGGATTACTCAGTGGCGAGAGAGACATCAAGGAGAGCCCAGGGCGGAGGAGGGAGAAGCACCATTCTTTCTGTTTTGGTCTACTCTGCTGTGGAGGGTAGAGCTCTAACCAGATATACTGCGAGCACCAGGTAAGAGACAGAGATGGCTTGTCTTGGAAATGCAAGTGGCTGTTCCTTTCACACGCTGCTTGGAGAAGGGCCAGGCAATGATAATTGAATAGCTAAAAATAGGGACAATTTAGAAACAGAACAGAGAGAAAGAAAGTGAGGGAGATGAATTTGGTCCTAGAAGCTGAGGATGCTGCCAGCATTCTGTAAGAAAGCTCTCAAAAACGTCTGCCGTAGGGGATTCTGGCCAAGGAACTGCAGATAGGAGGCAATTGGAAGGAAAGATGTGTGCAGGACAAGAACAGGATTCCTCATTACTCTTGATGGAAGAGGTTTACAGAGGATAGTGCCTATGTGTCATGGAAAATGAATTAAACTCTATTCATGGTGGCTGGAAGTGTGTTTGTAGGATGTGTATGTGTGTGGGGGGGAGGTGGCTGGGGTAGGAGTGTGTGTACGAGGAGATCAGGGAGGGAGTACAAAGCTTTAGTCTTCTTCCAGACAACCATCTCTGGAAGGATCTGTGCACAGCAGTCTCATTCTTTTCAATCCCCATTTACTGGGAAGAAATTCCCAGCCAAATGGAAAGGAAGTCTCTCCCTTCCTGAGCATTGTAGCTCCTTGTCATCTTTAGAGAAGAAAAACAAGGATTGAAAAATGACTCCATGCTGTCTCTCTCTGCAGCCCAACAACCCTAGGAATTCAGCACAGAAATTGGAGGTTGGGGGGGGGGGACAAGAGAGAGAGAAAGACAGGTGGTAAGAGAAATCAGTTTAGCTTTAATCTCCAATCTGGGTTAAAATCTGGTTGCTCGCTTTTTACCAGGTAATTGCAATCTAACATGAAATCTGTGCTTCCCATGGAAGAGGAGGGGTGGAGAAAAAGGCAGGAGAAAATGTTTACCGGAACAGACACAGGCTGACTACAGCTGTCTGTAGACTTCTGATCAAGGAAATTCAGTGGAGGGGAACTCTCTCTCTCAGATAGAACTCTAGACACCAAAAAATTCTGAAGATGGCTCTCTCATACCAAAGCAGTAAGAATGGCAATCTGAAGAGGCTCCTTTGATTTATCTGGGAATACAGCAACTGGGTCTTTACATGGGCACCTCATTTGCAGTAAGTTTCTGTCACTAAACTCAGCAGCCTTGCATTTGGAAATGTCGCGTTGAGGGGCTTTGAGTACTTTTTCTACAGAGTAGCTGAGTGACCTCAGGCTGTTGTAAGATGGGAATCCAGGTCTCGGGTATGATGAAGAATCAAGGAAACTCCTTATAGCAGGAGAAGAATTGATTGTGACCTGGGCAGAGCAACTGCTCCCTCACCATGGGTCGTTACGACCATCCTGAATATTCACAGTACCAGGAGTATTAAATAGTAACAGTTATGCTGACGCAGGAGCTGATGACCTTGACCTCTAAAACTCATTTCCTGGTACACTTGGCTTTAAAAAAAAAATAGGCAGAAGCTTTTTGGTAAAATCAGCTGTCAGCAAGTGACAAAGTGAATCTCCACTTGTCACGGCTGATGTGACTGAGAGTCTAAAAAAAGCACTGGGCAGAATGTTCTAGAGAGCAGCTCACAGCACCTGGAGCAGAGGCAGGTGGTTGGGAAGGGAAATTTTAGATAAGACAATTACCTGAAAGGAGGTCACAGACCTTAGGTGATGAAGGCAGAGTCACTGAGGTTCTACTGATCTCTGTTTTTGTTACCTTTTCTTTTCTTTTAAGGAATGAAAGCAACCAATTGTCTAAAGGATTTCAGTCAGGGTGGGGTGTGGCTAAAGTTATGTGGCCTGAAGGTCACCAGCTTTGACATGACTGTTCTGCTCTGTTCTGCACTTCCTTGATAGCTTAGCTAAGAAACATAAACCCTGGGCTTTATTTCTTTGTCTGTCAAATGGGATCAGAATTAGTGCCCATGCTCATACGCTCGATCCATGGTGTATCTGATTATGATAAATAAATACTTAAGTAAGGGGGTGTCACTCTTCACTTTGATTCTGGTTCCAGAATCGGGATGAACATCGAGGTTGGAAACATTTCTTACACGGGCGCCATCATCTCCTGGTCGTCCTCAGAGCCCTGCCTGGAGGACTATTACCATATTATGTACAGGCCCAACTGGAACAGCATCTTCTCTGGCTATCTTCGCTACAGCTTCCACCACGAAGAGAAGGTGCCCCGAGCGATCAGCTCCGTGGTACTGGAACACCTCGCCCCTTCCACTCTCTACTTCCTCTGCGTCAGCTGTAAGAAGGCCTCTTTGCCCTACAGGCACTACTGCACCATGTTCCACACCCTGGATAAGAGTCCACTGGCTGCTGGGGGCTCCCTGGTGGACCCCCAAATATCCCTTTGGGTGCTGATGGCCATTCTTCTGGCCTGTTTCACAGCTGTCTTGGCCTTCATCTGCCTCCAGTTCTGGTGTATCCGCTGCCATGAGCCTCGGTGGTCTTACAGAGCTGGCCACATGGAAGAAGCCAATGGGTTGGTGAGATGGCCAGAGGAGGCCCCAGCTCTTGGGCAGAGGGAGGAAGACCTGCAGGGGCTCCCCCTGGTGGAACTGCCTCGCAAGAATTCTGGAGCCAATGCTGAACTTGAGGCGGAAGCCCAGCAGGATGCCCCTGATGTGGGAGCCTTACTTAGGGAGGGTGGGAACCAACCCGCCATATTGCCTCCCTGCAGGGAGTAAGAGGTGGGGGGGGGAAGACAGATGGCCCCCATCATGTAGCCTAAAGTCCCCTGCCCCCAGTAGGTCTTTTGTAACCATTTGTCTATAGACTACCCATCTCTCTCTCTCCTCAAATATCAGTGTGATCACAGGGGGAAGAAGGCCTGATAACAAGGAGCTCCCCAAGACCTCCAGGTGTACAAGGGAGAACATGCCATCAATTCAGCAGTGTGCTTTTGGGGGCCTAGTTAAGAACTGAAGGCATAATCTTAATATTAAATATTAATATTAAACCAAACATGGATGTATCATAGAGTAGAAAGTAAAACTTTGCACGACTTCAATAAAACCCAGTACATGAAGGAAGTGCTGGAATCACAGGTAGGCATTCTGCATGATACTTTCAGGCATTCTTTTTGGAAAAGTGTGAGAAGCCTTGCTCTGGAGCTGTTTTCCAACTTTCAGGCAACCGTATACCACCTTAGACCCCATCTTCATTTTCTTTTTAAAAACCACAGACTACCTTTATTATTAACAATACTTTTTCTTTAAATCAACTCATTTAAAAACAAACTTACAAACTCATTAAAAGATAGCTTTATATGACTCTATAAGTGAAAAACCAGCACCCTCTTGCTATAAATAGAAGGGAAACAGATAGAAATAGATATAATGAAAACAAAACAATGTTAAGTCGACTCAGCTATTGTTCCCTGCTTAAGGCCACTTTTGTGTATGATAAAAAGGGTGACCAGCCAGTGCTGGAGAGCCATTAAAGACATCTTGGCATCAATTTAAGTCATTCTCCTTCATGTAGCATAAGGTTTGAGAGGGAAGACCATTTTGGGAGTTAATGGTAGTTAAAGCCATGCTTGTGAGCTACTTCAAATGCTGTCTGTAAGTTTCCTCTGATTTGAGGAAAAACACTTTGAGCAAACTGACTGCTCCAATGAAGACAGCTGTACCTCCTGGCATCATCCTGGCATTCCAGGTACCGGTTAGGCCCAAGTGGCAGGAATTCATTTGGATTAACCATACAGCTAAACCCTTCCCATACTGTGTCCTCATCTATAGTCAGTTCCTCTTCTAGGCCCATCTCTGCTTAGTTTTTGAAAATGAGGTGGTAGCTAGTCTCATTTGATCAGAAAGAAAAACACTGGCCTCTTGTTGGGGGTGGAACAGACAAAATTCACCCTTTTGGTGGCATTCTTTATTCCTCCCCTGCCACCCCCTCCCCCATGGTGAGAAACCAGTCTCCTACATTGGTGGGACTCCACCCTCGTACAGTGGCCTTGGTGAGACTGAGCACTGTTCCCTCACCACAGGTATGGACATGGAAGGTGGAAAGCTTGGAGATGACGTCTTCTCGATGATGATGAATCTAGCTGTGTCTGGGTTACAGTGGGCACATACTACCTATCTTTTTAATGAAGGGACAGAGGCTTAGAATTGCACTCTTTGGGGAGTAGTTAGCACATATGAACAAAATCAGTGATGGCATAGGAGAAGAGGTGTCTCTAAGCACCAGCTCCAATCATCTGCGACTTCCTTCAAAGCTCCACCTACCCAACTCTTCCTGCCTGCAAATCCCTTAGATTTATGGAGCACAAAGTCCCCAGATCACTGGATGGCAACACAATGAATCAGCTGAGAAACAGGAAGAGCTGGGAAGCCACGATGAGCAGCTCACAGATCCACTTCCATGCCCAGCTGAGCGCAGTCCTCACCTCGCAGCTTCCACTCAGCCCCAGTCCTCCAGAGCTATGCCCACCCTGGTCCTGCCAGCCATGAACAAATAAAAGTGAATATAGCTGCAGTTGTTTCTGCCTGAATCTCACTGTGCCTCTTAATCGCCATGCCTTCTGACTTTTCTGATTCTGGGAGCACTTTTCTATTGGTTTTCTCACTCGTAGCAGGATAGGCGGACTACTTACCTTGGATCCATAGAGGTAATAAGGTTGGACGTTGGCAGGCTTATCTCGTTGAGGTTCTTGGGTAAAAGGAATGGCAGTTCGGACAAAACTAGCAGAAGAAAAGAGACGGGGAAGGCGTTAACTGAGTCCTAATGTCCTTTGTGGGACACAGACAGCCGAGGAACTCTCCCATCCAAGAGTAATTGTTCACATTGGTCCAACTGTGCTGTGTCCTAGGTGACTACCTACAAAGGTACTAGACTCTTCTGACATCCTCCCATTCAACTATTGTCTGCTTTTTCATCCTTTCCATAAATGGGGAAACTTCCTGGGGTCAGTTCAGGACCATGGTTGCTCAGAGGACAGTGGGCAAGAAAGTAAGAGTAGTAGGCCTGAAAATGGCCTTTTCTGGGCTCCACCTCCAGTTTAGTTTCAAGAGACTCGGTTCAGCAAACTCTGTAAAGAGCCAGGCTGCAAATAGCTCCTGCTTTGCAAACCAGATGGTCTCTGCTATAAGCACCCAACTCTGTTGTTGAGCATGAAAACACTCATACACCACGGCTAAGATCCAATAAAGCTTTATGAATTCCAAATAATTATCACATGTACCAAATCTTCTTTGGATTTTTCCCCCAAGCATCCAAAAATGTCAGTAACATTTTGATAGCTTATGCACTGTACAAAGATGGCTGGCATTAGATGAGGCCTTTGGTTGTGGCCTAAGCCTTTCTTCTTTCCTGCTTACATGAGCTAAAAGCCCAACTCTTTATGGAACTGGAAGTTCTGCCTTGCTCCATGTATGGATTCAGGTCCTTTGGTGGGATCTTCTGAGGCTTTCCCATTCATTCAACACATTCTTTTTAAACACCACCTGAGCCAGGCTTCGGGTTAGTGAGGGGACCCGCGCATTCATGCTTCCCTGCACACCCTTCCACACTTGTTTTGTGTGTGAATATGGGTCTTACCTGTTCCGCCAGGTAATAATGCAGCTCTGTGGGAATAAAGAGATTAGGTCTTGTCTCTGCCTCAATGCCTGGCCCAGGGGCTGTGTGCTCCCTGAAAGAGGCAAATTCCACTCTGCTGTGGTGCCTGTGTGCGTTCTGCAAACACGAGCTTGTTTGGCTTACATGTGTGCAGACGTGTGGATGTCCTTCATGTATGATATGATCACAGCTCTCTTCTTCCTCAAACTAGAAGGGACCACAAATGCGGTCCTTGTGTGGCCCACAGAGTAGTGCATGATCTGTTTCTGTTGCATCTTTCATGGCACCACTGCCTACCCGACTAGTGTTACCTGTTGCCTGGAATTCTCTTCTCTTGCTCTTTCACCTTATTTATTCCCACTCCTCTTTTGCATCTCACTTCCAGCATCCCTTCTCAGAGGTGGAAGCTTCCCCTGAGGTTTGTGTTACCTGGAATGGACCAGGTAATGTTACCTCTCTCACAGCCCCGTGAGCTTGCCTTCATCTCCTTGCTGCAGCACATTTGTCATGCAGTTGTTTGATCACCTGAGTCCTCCTCTGGCCTGTAGGCTCAAAGGGACAGGTTGGTGTTCGCTTGCACACCATGACATCCTCACTTCCAGCACAGAGCTGGCACCCCAGAGAGTGTGAGACGCCAGTTGAAGGAACGACTGACATACTGCTCAGCCAAGTTTGGAGGAGGCAGCTGGCCATAATCCCAACCCTGGACCCAAGCCGGTGGCCTTTGCAGAGACTCTCTTACCGGTTGGTAGACCCATTGTAGCAGTAGTTGGGAAGGAAGTCAAAGTTCAGCTCCCAGAAAACATGCAGGGTGATGCGGCCATAGGGGGCTGACACATTGTGGTTGGCCTCTCGGAACATGGCGTCGAAGCTGTCCAGCGTCATGTGCTTGCACAGAAGCCGGTGTGTGAGCCTGTTAATCTCCAGCAGCCACTCCAGCTCCTGCCAGAGAGAGAGAACCAACCCATGGCTGCTGAGGACTTGCACCGAAACCCCACCCATGTGCACTTAACCTTCCAGTCTCCTTTCATGCAGGTGAAAGCCCCTCAGACAATCCCTTAATCTTCTACACTAGGACTAGGACCCCTGCAGTAGCACATGGTAATACACCCTTCTGAGAAGTAGAAGGAATTGTCAGGCTAGGCTGTGGCTGGGGGATGAGTATGGGTGTTATACCCCTGTCACCAGAAGGAGACCATCAACTGTGTGAAAAAATCATGCTTGCTTCATAAATAGAAGATAGTTCTGACACATCTCACCAGACACCATATTTCTCTGCCCTGCAGAAAACACTCATAAGAACCACTGTGTATTTAGTGTTTATTATTAGGTTGAACCATTTGATGTTTCTATTTTTTTAGATCAAATGCTACCAAAGCTTGGCAGTTTCAAATGGTTCAACCTAATTAAAATGTTCCAATTTTAATGTGTTAACTCATACTCATTTAATGCTCATCAAAACCCTATGAGGTCAGTATCATTGCTGTCCTTACCTTCTGCATAAGGAATTAAGGTTTTGAGAAGTAACTTGGCATCAAATCCAGGAAGTTGGGTTTCAAAGTACATGTTCTTTTTTTTGTTTTTTTTTGTGGTACTGGGGTTTGAACTTAGGGCCTCATCCTTGCTAGGCAAGTGCTCTACTGTTCGAGTCACTCCTTTAGCCCTAAAACTTCCGTAAGAATGTTTAGAGGAGGCAGGAACACAATGCCTCTTCGTTTGGACTGTAGGCTCCTCAGTTACACAGGGGTTGTCAAAGGTATCTGTAGTCTGTAGTGAGCCCACAGTGACTAGGGATCCATTTGTGTGGAAGCCTTGTCATTTGGAAATCCACCTTCAGCAAGAGCAGAACAGAGTCTGAATACAGCAAGACACTACACTTATTGGGAAATAAAAGTAGAGTGAAACCTTTTTTTCCCCATACACAGGACTTTTTGTTTGTCACTGTTAGAAATCTAACCTTGAACTGATGGCTGATATCCATCAGGAGGTTCAACTTCAGCATCTGTTTCAACACCAGTAGCTTTTCCAGAGCTACTGCCTTCACCAGGAAGCCCCATGAGCTTTTCCAATTCAAACCTGGCCTTTTCAGTATTTTTACTTTCTAACGAAGACATCACGAACACTGAGACATGTCTCAGTGTTGTCTGGAATCTGTTATCTACTATTTCTTTGAAGTCATTGTCTGTACTTTTTGGGTTATGATTTCCACCACCTTCTTCTGAATCTGGTGGACCCTAGTGGTGCCGAGTATGAGTTCTTTCATAGCTGATTGTTGCATTTTTAGTAAAACCAACACAGATAAAGCAAATAACCACCAGTAGTCCT